CGTCCCGTCACGTCACGTCACGTCACGTCACGTCACGTCACGTCACGTCACGTCACGTCACGTCACCTCACGGCTGTCGGTGAGTCTGTCTGTCGATCTGTCTGTCTGTGTCTGTCTGTCTGTCTGTCTTGCTTTGTCTGTCTTTGCACATGGACAGACAGGCGTCAGACAGACAGAGAGACAGGCAGCCAGGCCGCGAGGCACATGGACAGACAGGATAAACACACTTCATACACGCGCTAGCGGGCGCTACTGTGATGGTTGATCTTGCTGCGGGGGTTGAGCTGGCTTGGATTGCGGTTCCAGACATCGCACCGACACGCCACAAACAGAAGCTGGCACGAGATGTGGTGCTCACTGCCAGTCTGTCTCCCCTTGCTCTGTTCTCACTCTATCTCTCGCGAAGTGAAAGGATACTTGGTTTTCAGCGGACGTGGAACTTGCAGCTACCCGGCAGACTTTCAGAGAAGAAGCATCGGCTGTTTTTGTGCAAATGTTGCGTGTGAGAAGTGCTTTTCGAGCTGGTTCTTGCATGTCCAACGTGAGCAGATTTCACCTGGCATTTTGGCCGTTTGGCAGTAGCTGTATCTGTATATGTGCTGCAAAGAAGGTTATGCGAATTCTGCCTTGAACTTCATCATCCCAGTCAGCGATCTACCTGCTTGTGTCCAAGCAGGATTAGAAGTGAAGCCTTGTTTCACTGTGCTTGGCAGTTTTCTTTGGGCCCTGGAATGCAACGGAGGTGGTGGACGAAGCTGCCTAGTTGAAATCAGATCCAGCTGCTTGTCTGCCATGTGATAGACACGGGCTGCACAAGGTTACAATTTCCCTGAATTTCTGGTCGAGCTCGTGACGCTGTCCGCGCTTTTCTCCTCGATATATGTCGTTTTCCTGAGTAGGCAGGATGAGCCGGTGACCCGGCACCTCTCAGCAACAGTCGAGACGCACGCGCTTTGCAGGTACTTTAAAGCTCAGTTTGCGTGGCGCCTTGATTTGAAGTTTCAATGCAGGCGACTTTTGAACAGCGGTCCTGCGCTCCAGGTACACAGAGCCGAATGCTTCATGGCTGCTGCTAGGATGTAAGTTGCTACGCATCCTTGGGGTATCGGCCATGATTGGCTTGGAACTTCGGCTGCACCTGGCTTGCCTGTCAACGGCTTTTGCGCCAAAAACGTCAATTGGCAGTTGATTGGCGTTTTGCAGTCTTCGGCATTTGAGGTCGGTGTGGCCTGGATACCAACGCATTTCTACAAGCTGGTCCATCGCACAGCCGTGCCCCGTCATAGAAATCCCTCGTGGCGTCTGGGACTGCCTATTCAATGAGACACACAGCATTTGCGTTGGGAGGCTTACGTTTTCTTTCTGGCGAGCATTTGGATGCTCTTCCTGTACGGTGGCCTGTATGCACTGTTATCCAGTGGACGCTCGTTCGGCCCCGCTTGTGATTAGGACTGCTGGTAGCCAGCTTGCCAGACAATTGCCGGCGGCCTTTCCTGCTACCGGCAGCAGTAGATGCTCGGCTAGGGAGAACTCGAAGTTTGCATCTAAGCCGTTGGGAATGCAAGCTGAGGGCACCGTGCTGTGGATTGTGATGACCATCTACGGTGTGCTCCGGCAGCCAGGAAATGCGTTATTCTTGCAGCGTCTGCACGATTAGTTGCCGGGCATGATCCATGAGAACCAAGGTCCAATTCACTTTCAACTTCTGTGACAAGATCTGTGGGGGTGGAGATTTCAGCCAGGAGCCGCGTAGTCTGCAGAAGCTCGGCTCCATGAGAATGAATACGAGGCCTGTGAGCTTAAAAGCAGGTTGAAGTGCTCCCAGTAGTTCTCAGGTTGCAGAAAGAAGAGCTGTCCCTCTATGAGAAGTACCGCGACTCGCTGCAAGCAAACAGTTTCAACGTGTTGCAGTGGCATGCATCAACTGACCTACTCCAAAAAAGGTTGGTGTTTGTCCTTGGAAAGCGTCGCTGAATGGCTCATCGTCGCTCTGTGACGCAGCAGCAACTCAAGGCCACTGCAAGGCTCCTTACAGTGTGCTGCAAAGCGAATTTGTCGTTTGAGGTATGCCCTTTGGGTACTCTTGGCACCGGCTACCTGGCACAACATGCAAACTCTTGTGTGCTTGTGCCAAGCATCGCTCAGCCAGCATGGCCTGCACAATGCATTTCTGATATGCCCAGCAGATGCCATGTCAGAACAGGGCTTGAAGATTGTCGGGCATTGTCGACAGGCATTCGGTATGTATTAAGCAATAGTCCATTAGGACAGCATGTGGCCATTCAACACAATGTTAGTATGCGCGTCAGATATTGTGTTGTTGATGTTTCTTTGCAAAAGACTTGTTCAACAACGCTACCAGGCGGCAAGTTTCCACAGGTTCCAACATTGATTTCAAGGCATGCGCTAGGGCATGGTCCTCTTGTCCCGCCGCACAATGCGGGATCGTTCTGACGAGTCAGAAAGCAAGCCTGGGGAGGGCATCGACGAGGGAAGCCGTGTGGTGGTCCTGAATGGTCGGCACTTTCCGTCGTTCGGGGCAGGAGATCAAGGTCGAGTGCTGCAGGTCGACAAGGAGGCCCTCAATTGCGATGTGCTTTTCGACGGCAGTTCGCGGCCAATCCCTGTTGCGCTTCGGCATCTCAGGTTGATGAAGTCAGGTGGCAGTGGCTCGCGGGGACTGCCGATAAGCCGTGCCTTAGACTTCCAGGAAGGCGATGGGGCCAAGAGCGTGTCGGCTGAGATACGCGATATTCGTGGACGAGCCGAATCCCGGGCACTGTCTGCAAGCCCAAGGCGTTCTGTCAGCATCTCCGTGGCGGAGCCGGTCTCAGCGGATGCCAGCCGAGCCCGGGACGCTCGTCCACCCTTCCTGCACTCCATGGACCAGCGGCTGCAAGCATGTGAGGCTGCCTTGGATGGCTCCAAACGCATGAATTACAGAATCGTAAAACCAGGGGAGGATGACATGGTGCGAGGCGGTGACATGAGTCTGCTCGAGGATCGGATCTCACGGCTTGAGATTCGCATCAAAGATGAGGTAGATGTCCTGACGAAGCGGCTACAGCAAGCGACGTCGTTTGGCCAATCGTGGGAGTCTCGAGCGAAAGCCTTGGAAAGACACATCAAGGGTCTGGGTCATGTGCCTCCGAGTCCAGCGCCCTCGTCTTGCTCGGGTCTCTCCGCACGTGGATCCGCTCCGCTTTACTTATCAGCGGCCATCCCGCAGCACCGGCTGTCCGCCACGCCCCCAGACAAGAGCACCATGAATGCCGTGCCTCGAATGCCTCCAACTCCTTCCACCGGACCCTGTGTCAGCCGAGCGGAACCGCCGCCTGACAGCTGCTCCACGCGCGGCTCCGCGGCGATGATCCCTGATTCCCGGCTCCGCATCAGATGCGGTCCAGGTTCGGGGCCAACAGCCAGCAGGGAGCTCGAAGATCCTGGCAGCACACGTCGTTCTCTTTCGGCGACTGCCGCACCAGGACGGACACCTGCAGTCTGTGGAGCAGCATATTTGGCACATCCACAAGACACCACGCCCCCAAGGGTTCGGCACATGCCAGGTATGCTCCAGCCACAACTTGTGCCAGCCGCTATGGTTCGCGAAGTCGATGCATATGGATGCTCTCCTGCGAACGGGTATGTTGCGGGACCCTGCTTCACGCCTCCACAAATGCTCACACCACGTTTGGTGCTTCCACAGAGGCCCTTCGGCTGAAGGTGCACAGGAAATTTGGTGCCTATGGAGGTTTCAAAGCAGGCATTCGGAGCCTGGTCTGGTGCTGACTGAGCAGCGAAGCGGACTGCCGGCTGATTCCTAATTCATGTACAATGACTCTTGCAGTGAAGTGTCGCAAGGTTGGGGCCTTTGCTATAGCCAGTCAACTACCTGCTATCAACATGAAAGGGCTACTCGAAGGAATGAGTTATTCCCATACAATAATAGATTAGTGATGGATCACTGCTGGCTGCAACTTGCCAATGCCTCAGCTCCAGATGCAAAGCAAAACTTGAGAATGGCGATGCCGACCGGCTTGCACACATGAACGCTTCAAGCAACGTCAGCCCAGTCCCGCCCTCTGTGCCGAGGTGGCAACAACTCTGCCTTGTCGGGATGCAGGGCGCAAGTCCCATGAGGCGGTTGGAGAGACAGCTGCTGACGAGACTCGCAACGCATATTCATGACAAAGGGGGGGATGTTGGTCGTAGTTGCTTACCACTTTGAAAGTCACATGGTCTGTGCACGCACCCCAGCAGACTTGCACTCGTCATTGGGGATATTTAACCGCAGCTGTGACAGTGTTCCTGCAAAAAGCCGGAGCCCCCACTGTGCTCCTTGTCGCGGAGACTGGGCAGCAGCTTTCGTGCGGTGGTGTACAGCTTGATGGTTGCTGAGCCACCAGGCAGTGGAAATGGCTATGGCCACTCGGAGAACAGCAGAAGCTCGGCTTGCGGATGGCGGCTTGCAGCAAAGTGGCCGCAGGTCGACCTCGAACCCAGCGAATGGCGCGAAGAGGAGGCCACGACCCACGCCGAGCCCGGGCCCTCAAAACGGGGGCAGAACGGGGGTGCCCTGCTTGCCCCGGCCGCTCTGTTGGGTGACGGAGGATGTACGAGGTCACGCCAGAGTACGTGAACCTGCTTACTGCTCCGACAGAAAGCTACCTGTGTGAGTTGAGCCTTGGCACTTGACTATGCGGGCTAGACTCACTAGACTCGGTATGCTGCAGTGTAGGCGTCTAGTTGGAAGAGCTCGGCGACGCTAAGGGAGCACAACATCTACAACCTTCAGTTTGTAACTCGGCCACATTGGGGTCACTACCATGCCGGAAATGTACCTCTCATATAATGGGAAGACGGGCATTGGACACGTCCTCCATTCAATTCCCAAAACATGCCCCTCCTTGAAGTATTTCAGGACATCTCGGACGGACTGAAGCATACATGCGCGGGTCCGTTTCACATCGCGGCAAGGTTGATTTCAGGATCCGGTCGTTGGACGACGGCAACGAAGGGGTCGCTGCCTCGATCGGGACGAATCTTCGCAAGCACCGATGCCACTTGCTAGAGGAGTTGTGAGGTGCTTTTTGATCTTGGTGCTGGCGACCGTCCGTCTCCGATTCCACCAGAGCTTAGCGAGGCACGCTCTGGCTTGCATTGTTGCTTCCTTGTTACCCGCGCCGTGTGCAGAACGCCGGCCGGTTTATCCGCTACCATTTCGGTCCCCAGATGCTTGGAGCAAATGGCACAAGACACTGGTTCGGTGAAGCAGTAGAAGACCACCAAGTCGGTAAGGTTCCTCGATATCCAGACCATTGGTACAACTCTTGAGTTCACCAATGGTCGCCTGTCTGCACCGTGTTTCTTCCCCGCTGCCTACATTGGGTCAGCAGACCCTAAGGTGACTATGAGGTGCAAAACTTCCGAATGATCGAGCGACATTATTTTCGCGATCAATTGATTACTAGCTCCAAAACGGCAATTTTGCGGGAGCCGATTCACTGCTGGGACATTCCAGGGTAAGCACCGGGCGGGCAGCTTTCAAGGCTATGACTTCACCATGCCCTTCGTAATCCCGAACACCAGGATGCTGGCCTTCGTGTCGACACAATCACTCTTGTTGAACGCGCTTGCTGTAGAGGAATACTTGGGAGATGATTTATACCAAACCGGAGCTCAGCGACGAGTGGAAGGTGTCGTTACTGCGTGGAAGCACAGTTCAGTGGCTTTGATTGTGTCTGGTTGCAGGAAGCACTGATCAGCAGCCCCTGGGAAGTTCGATCTGATAGCACCTCAGCGGACCAGAGGGAAAGGAGGCTTGTACTTGTCTGGAAGAAGGGAGTGAGCTAGCGCTTGCCAAACCTCCTTCCCCCACAAGCTTCATGTACCTCTTCTGAGGCTTCTACTTTGTCGACGGGCGCCTCGTGATGCACAACCGTGCAGAGCATTGTCTGCAAGAGCACTATCGACTTCTCGTGTGTGCATCACGGAACAACGCGGCCCGATTCAGACCTGAGGAATACAACTACGGGTATTGAAAAAACAGGCACTGCTCCCGGAAACAGAAATGTTTGCGGGCCCAAGACGGGCCTTTAATGGGTATGGCTGTCAATGCATCCTAGTTCTTGGCACATGTCTGAGCAAAACTTGTGGCAGAGGTGTGCCCATCAATACGTTGGACCCACCCTGCGGTTCGATAGTGCCCGCAGTTGCGAGTTCTGCACGAGCACCTGAAAAGAAAAGGTGCAGTGTGCAGACTGATTAGCAGAAGGGCAGAGCCATAGCAGGTCAGGCCGAACAGCCTGTTCCCGCTCGCATTCGTGGTCCGAAGTTTTGAGGGCCCCGGGCCTTGATGCTAGCAGTCCCTTTGCTGGGCCGCAGAGTGTGGAGTCCTCAAACTGGAAGCGAGGCTCTGCTATCTGCCAGCTCATAGATCAGAGGTTGTCTATCTCACGCGTGCGGTGTACAGCACCGGCGAGGAGAAGCTGGATCTTGCAAGCGTGAATCAGAATCTAATGCCAGAGTTTCTGTGAGGACTTGCAAGCCTATGGCAACGGACGGCAAGCAGAGCACGGCGAGGATTGGATCCGTGTCGGGGTAGACCTCAGGATTGCGATGTTTATGGTTTCGTCACAGTCAGCAGGCTGCCGGGTGCTTTGCAGGAGAGACCTGCTTCAGCAGATTGAAGCTGATGTGCAGAAGAAGTGGGAGAAGCAGAAGGCCATGCTTCCAGTCTTCTGAGCTTCATGCGCAGCTTGCTTTCTGCATGCTGTGATGCACTAACTCTTGTTCGGATCATGATCAACTCCGTGAGAGCCTGACTCATACATGCTGGCAGATCTTCGAATGTGACGCTCCTGACAGCAGCAGCGAGAAGTTCATGTGTACTTTCCCGTATCCGTACATGAGTCTAGGATGCATTGCTGAGCTTTCTGGAGAATTTGCTTTCTCCTCCGGCCTTGATGCACATCGTTTGACGAGGAATGGCCTGCTACACATCGGCCATGCTTTCTCCTTGACGACTCCTGGTCGCAAGCATTTGCAAGCCACGCTAGAACTTGCCAAGTGCTGCGCATCCCAAGGAAGGCAATCTTTGCCGCGCACTTCAATCGCTTGCTTGGGAAAAAGGTGCATGAAGCGAGATGGCTGCTGACCCACGGCTGTAGCTCGCCTTCTCTTGACAGGTCTTGTTCCCTTTCGGCTTCCATTGTACAGGCATGCCAATCCAGGCATTCGAGCTGTTTGTGGATCTGTTGTCTCTTCTTTGATTGTCCATGAGTGTGCAGGCTGCAGCCAACAAGCTGGCGAGGGAGCTGGCTTCCCATTTCGGTATGTCCACGACGAGACCAAAGCGCCGCCAGCTTAGGTTCGACGTGTATGGCAAGCCATATCCAATCTTTCCGCCCGGACGTCCGCAGCCCAAGGCTCGAGAGCTTTCTGTGCCGATCCCCAATTCTCCTTACATCCACCCACGTGCTCGCAGGAGTCGTCGCCCGATGTCATTGAGATCGATGATGACGGCGTCACCATGCAGTGGAAGCCCCCGGCATCGACGGGCAAGAAGGCAAGACAACCTCCCCGTGCTTTCAAGCTGCAGTGGCTTGGACACAGAGGCAGTCAAAGAGTATGTCGTGCACATGAAGGCTTGCATGACCTGGCAACTCTGCTTTCTCCTGCAACATGTCAAGGGCAGCCGCGTGATGCCATCAGGTCCAGGATCAAGACTTCAAGGTGGTCAAGAAAATGCCACCCCCGAGCCCCGAGGCGTCCGGTACGGAACTCCGAATTGGATGCTGATACCTTCGTTGCAGACCGCAGGAACTCAAGGCGGCTGGCAACAAAGTCCGGACTGTTCTGCCTATCGAGGGTGGAGGTTGTGTCTACAAGGCAGGTGCATTGTTAGCCGTCTTCTGGTCTGGCCGAGTTGGCCCTTCGGAACACAAGGTCATCGCCATCTTGGAGGAACACCAGCGGAAGACTGCCTGCCTGGTTTTCGTACGTGAAACGAATTGCCAGGACGGCTCTTCATGTCCTCCCAGCCCAGAGTCAGATCAAGTCTCTGTTGATGCCGCACCCAAAGACAAGAAGAGTGGTCCGGCTCTGATGCTGATATGCCTTCATTGGAGCACTGGTCGGAAGCCTCGGTGTCTCCGAGGCGCTGCAGGTGGAAAGCGTGTAGCAAAGAAAATCCTTGCCAAGAGCGGTGACGCAGCATTCCAGTACGAGATCATGAAGGACGGATGTCTGTCAGGTCAAAGGCCTGCAGGCATGAGCTGCTTTAGCGAGTGTTGCTGGTCTGAGAGGCAATGGGTCTGTCTCCTGAAGACATTCCGAAGTGCTGTGCCTGGGATGTTGGCATGTGAGATGCGCTGGGGTGGGGCTTGCTAGCTCTGTGCCTGCTGCCTTAAGGTTCGTTGATCCTTCATACTGGCCGCAGCCCAACCACTGATGCACGTAGTTGGCAAAATACAGCGTGCGTGCGGTCGGAGCTGTGAGGCTGCAGTATTTTCCACCTCTTGGTGTCCGTGATCTGAAACGCCTGGGCACGCCAGTCGACTTCCGCCGATCGTTGAACGCTGAGAGTGTTAGCATCTGTGTATCAGAAATATGGCGTAGTCTCCGAATCACGTGGTGAGGCCAGAGGTTCGGGTATGAGCAATCATAGGTTTTGCAGCGATGCCCCAAGGTTCATCACGACATCTGCAAACAGATTTTACGTCACCGACTTAATTGTCTGAATACCTAGGAATATGTCTGTCTCTCGGATATCGTGCCGTGCGTTCAAAGGATAGTTTTATCCGTTGGCAATTCAGGAGAACCTGGCTAGACTTGCAGCTGACATGATTCGGTTCACATGCATCTTTGCATGGCAGCCAGGAAGCTGAAGCAATCCGAGAAGATTGGATTCGGAAAGAGACCGACTATTTACAGCTGCTTGCCTGCATCCCCATCCTCCTCGCAAAGACTTATGCACCCAACCAGTTGGACGCGTCCACTGAGGTGAGGTGGATGGCCAGGCCTGCACAACCTGAGAAAACATTATTTCTGCACTCAAAGTGCCGCTCGAGGCATGCATGGACCACGATCGAGCAGAAGGCGAGGGTGTTGGACCCCAGGAGCGGGAAGTTTCATAGCAGTGCACATGATGAAAGACTTATACACAGACTTGCAGCTTCACTGATCACGAACCGAGTGCATTTTCGGAGGTTGCGTGATCCCAGATATGCCTTGACACCGTACATCACATGCTGCAATTTGGAATTTGGAACGATCCTGTTGCGTTGCGAGTTCCAGCAGGATGCGCAGTCTGTTTTTGCACTACTTGCACCGTGTCGTCCTCGATGAAGTATACTTGGCACAGGTAGGGGCTTAGGGGCTACGTGAACTGTTTGGATCCTTCGCACATGACGTGGCCGGTCAACGCATACAAAAGAGTAGCAGCACCTTGAAGGCAACGTAAAGTCCATAGTGTACAGCATGGCTGTAATTTGTAGCGCGTGGCAAAATGTTCGTTACAACATGCTCGTGCATGGGACCGACGAGCCTGAACTGGGGGGCTAGCAGCTTGGCGAGCACGGAGTCTCCGCTTGCAGCGTGGACCTTGACATTCCAACTCAAAAGCGCCGACAGTTATAGGGATGGGGTGGCTTGTTGCTGCAATCCTGGTGGGTGAGTGTTGTCGATGTGCATCTCGATCATTGCCACAGCGACACCTCAGAAAGGACGAACACTTGCGGGCATTGGGTAGCTTGGGGTTGAAATCCTGCCACTTGACCCACTTTCTAAGTGAAATGTACAACTTGCCCCCCCCCCCCCCCCCCCCGGCCTCGCCTGCCTAACCCCTGGACTGAACAAGGGCATGGGGTCGGTGGTACCCACCTGTTCTTTTCAAGTCCATTTCGTACTTCCCAAATCCCAAGTTCAGGCCAAAACTAAAGCAACACCTCCACACAATGCAAAACCCCAGAACAAGTTGCGAAAACTTGCAGCACCGCCGTTAGCCCACACCTCACATCCTATCCCCCCTGCTTTTGCATCAATTCTCAAGCCACCTGATAGAAATAAAAAGTGTCCTCCTTCCAAATTCGAAACCCACACGCGAAGCACACCTGCCCTTAACCATTCCTGAAGCTGGGGTACGTCTCCCTGCTAGAGAACCACCCCTAAACCTTTAAGCATCATCCGGAGGGACATGGCTATAAATTGTTCAAGTGTTGACTGCTGCGGGTTGGCTAAATCGTCGCCAACTTGAACGGGAGCGGCGTGCCTTCTGTATTCAATACTAGGGTCAGGGTTGAGGGTTCACGGGCATAGTTAGCAACAGATTGCGGGTTGCAGCCATTCTTGTTTGCGGTGGCTGGAGCACAATTGCCGTCAGTCCACGATTTCCATTGAGCTCCGCAGCTTCGCAGCGACAATGACGGAAATAATCAACAAAACATGAGCGTGTCCACATCGCTCTGCATGAATCGAAAGGGCTGTAGGTTGGAGACCAAGTTCGACGGGCTGACGCCACGGACACAAAATGGATGCGGTTGTGGAGTTTGGGATTACAGATGCACAGTGATGGCTTATATGTCTTACCTCTTATGTTTTATCGAAGCTTCGAACTGAACGTGTTTTTGAACCACAGCGCTTTTCATGTTCAGAAAGGGCTACTGACGGCTACTGTGGGGTTTGCGTTTGTATTTTATATAGAAGGGGCTGTCATGGGGCTTGGGTTGTTGCAAGATTCAGGTGCATAATGTTCCAAAACCCAGTTCCCATGGCAGATCGTTATCTAGCTCTTACAGTGCGTCGAGAGTTTCGCACGAAGTGGTGCTTCAGAGAGGGAGGGCGTTCCGAAGGCAAAGCTCAGCCGCATCCAACACGTTGACACTTCTTGGATGTGCGCAAAAGAGCATGCCACTGTGTGGAAGCAACGACATCCAATAACCTGTGGCTCAAACATCCTCGGTTTTTATTCCCCGAATAGAAGTAATTTGCCATGTTTTGCTTCTTTGCCTACTTTTTCGCTGTATGCTTTGTTTCTTTGCGCCTGTGATGATAGATCCAGTTCGACCACCAGCTTCATTTTTCCTTTGCCCTCCGCGGTCTTAGGTTGGATGCGCATCGCATGTTGCATCCTTGTAGCTGTGAGCCTGATGAGACAAAACTCCGAACAAATCATCGACCTGGCGTCCCAGGACGGCAGCGTGTTGCAGGAGCTTGAGAAAAGGCCGCCAAAGCTTCCCGTGAGGAAGCCCCCTCGTGAGATGTCGCAGGAGCAAAGCCAATCGGCATCTTCCTCGGCCCAGTCGCAGCACCCTGGACCGGCACAAATGCAGCCGCCCACAGGTGTGCCCACGTCTTTGGGCCCCCAGAACCAGCAGATGCAGATGAGCCAGCAGCCTACGATCATCCCAGTCACAATGGAATCCCCCAACACGGGCTTGCAGCTACGTCTTGCTGAACATGTTGGAGCAGTGGCACCGACTGCACCCCGAGTTTTCGGGAGCCAGAATGATGCGCGTAGCCAGCCCCAGAATTTCCTGATTACCCCAGTGCCCGCACAGTCTACTGGTGAGGTGATCCTAGGCACTTGTTCACTGGACAGCGCTAAAGCTTTTGTACAGGACAAGCTGTTCGAGAAGCTATCTAGTGACTCTCGATCCTGACCCGAGCCTGGAGGCCCGTTAGACTCCTGAATTAAGTATCTGCTTTCTGGAACCTGTATCCTGGACTTCTTTCGGGAGACGCATTTTGCAGCTTGAGCTCGCACCTGTCAGGCGTGTAGAGGTCTGCAATCCATTGTATTTTTGCAACCAAATTGATCCCCTACTTGGTGTAATCTGCATTGCAAAGACACCGTCAATATCACTTTTGAGTTACATGCTGCATGTGAGGATTTTTGGTTCGTTTTTGGTTTTTCCTTTAGTTGGCTCTGTGGGGAGCTTTGTTTGTATGCCTGTACCTAGTCACATGATGAGTGCATGCATGGTGACTGCATGCATGCCGAAATTTGCGTCGTGCCTTCCGAAGAGCTGATCCAGCACAGAGCCTGGATGTCCTCCATCTGATAAATCATGCTAGGCCGTGCTGAGAGAGTTGAATGCCATTCCGTGTAGCAGCAGTGCATGGTGATTGACCCAACAGAGAGGGAGTTGTTGATGCATCACAGCATTCATGTCCTCCAACTCATGAAGGCCACGCTGAGACAGTGACTGCATGTCCGTGTAGTAGCAATACATGGTGGTCGCTCCGATACGTGTCTTGGCGCACGCAACGCATGACGACATGTTAGCATGCCGCATTCCCGAACTGTGTAGCTGAACAGTGCTTGCGACCACGACATGACACAGGTGATGCCCGAAATGAAACCAGAGTCGCAACACCGGGAGTCAGCAGAGGACTCAAACACACCTGCGAGCCACTCCGTGGCTGACAACTCGTGTGTTGGTGAGCCTGTGACTGAAACAGCTTTCACTCCCTTCGAAGTGCGTTTAATTTGCCGTGCTTTGCAGATTGACTCTCGCCTTTGTGAATCGGAGTTGCTCTGCTATGCACTTAATAAGAAGGTACAGCGCGGAGAAGTCGTTCCCTCAAGGAATGTCCTGAGTGAAGCCTGGTCATGCATTCCTAACTCTTTCAAAACCATGGTCCGTAAACTTGAGTCTACTGAGCCCCTGCATCCCAACGCCATCTATTTTGTAGTGAGTCCCCGGTCATTGACAGCCCCACTCCAAAGAAACCAAGCTCACCCCCAGTTTTTGCAAGCAGTGCTGTCTTTCATCAAACATCAGGCGCAGGACTTTAAGTTCACGACGATTGCTGTCAGAGAGTGTGCCTCATTGCCTCCCCATCGAGACCCCCGTAATATGGCCCGTATGGTACCCTGTTCCAGGTTCTGACGGATGTTGGGTTTGTGGCTTGCTGATTCGGATGGGGATTCCTTTTTCGATTTTCAGGGGTCCAGATTCAGAGGGACAATTGCCGATGCCAAACACGAACCAACCAGTCCTTTTCGCAAGACGCACCCGAGAAAATAATGGATTGGAAATGGAAATGGATCCTGTATTTTTCTGTACCTAGAAACAAGAATAATAACAATAATAGTAACAATAGTAATAATAAGAATAATAAAAATAAAAAAAAATAATAATAATGATAATA